CATTTGTAATATTTTGTTGAGAATCCTTTACTGCATTTGGCTGAATTTGGGCTCACAGTATATCTCTAAACACTGCAGAATTCATCCGATTGCTTCTGTCTTCTGTCACAACATCAATAAACACCAATGACCCAGTGCCACTGGAAGCCATGCATGCCCATGCCATCACATGGCCTCCACCATGTTTTACAGATGACATTGTGTGCTTTGGATCATTAGCTGTTCCAAGCCTTCTGCACACTTTTTCTTCCAGTCATTCTGGTACAGATTATTTTATAGTTTCATCCGTCAAAAGGATGCTTTTCCAGAACTGGTCTGGCTTTTTTAGATGTTTTTTGTCTAGTCTGGATTTTCTATTCTTTGGGCTTATGAATGGTTTGCACCTTGTGGTGAAACCTCTGTATTTGCTCCTGTGAAGTCTTCTCTTGATTGCAGACTTTGACAATGATACGCCCACCTCCTGGAGAGTGTCCTTCACTTGTCTGGATGTTGTGAATGGGTTTTTCTTTACCATAGAGAGGATCCTGCGATCATCCACCACTGTTGTCTTCCGTGGACGTCCATGCCTTTTTATGTCGCTGAGCTCACCAGTGCATTCTTCTTTCCTCATAATGTACCAAACTGTTGATTTGGCCACTCCTAATGTTTTTGATATCTCTTTGATGGATTTGTTCAGTTTTTGAAGCCTTACAATGGCCTGTTTCACTTTCATGGATAGCTCCTTTGAACACTTGATGTAGGTTCACAGCAATAGATTCCAAAATGCAAATACCACACTCAATCAACTCCAGACCTTTTACCTGCTTAATTGATGAAGGAATAATGAAGGAGTAGCCCACACCTGGCCCTGAAACAGCTTTTGATTCAATTGTCCAATTACTTTTAGTCTCTTTAAAAAAGGGAGATTGGTGCTCTTAAGAGCTGAAATTCCTAAACCCTTCCTCCAATTTGGATGTACATGCCCTCAAATTAAACCTGAGAGTGTGAGCTTTCTGCAAATGTCCATTATATAGCTATAGCTTGAACATGTTTTGGTAAATACCTGAAAAAAACTGCAATTGTGCCCGTGTCAAAAAATATATGGACCTGTGTATATATACAGTTGTGTTCAAAATAATAGCAGTCAGACATCACTAACCTGATCAATCACTGTTTTTGGTAGAAATGATATTTCTACATGGAAAATAATTTACTAGCAGGTGTAGTAGAGTAATAGAAATCCAACAGATCCAACAGTCATGACATGCATGCTGCTGATTCTGTGTAATTGAATCACTAATTGAAAGGGGCATGTTCAAAATAATAGCAGTGTGGAGTTCTATTAGTGAGGTCATTCATTCTTTGAAAACCAGGTGGCAATTATTGCCCTTATTTAAGGAAGGAAGGCAGCAAATGTTGTACATGCTGGTTACAGTGCATTTCTCTCTGAAATTCTGAGGAAAATGGGTCGTTCCAGACATTGTTCAGAAGAACAGCGTACGTTGATTAAAACGTTGATTGGAGAAGGGAAAACATATAAAGAAGTGCAGAAAATGATAGGCTGCTCATCTAAAATGATCGCAAATGCTTTATAATGGCAACCAAAACCTGAAAGACGTGGAAGAAAGTGAAAAACTACCATTCGAATGGATAGAAGAATAGCCAAAATGGCAAGGCAACAATCAGCTCCAGGAAGATCAAAGAAGGTCTAAAGTTACCTGTGAGTACTGTTACAATTAGAAGACGCCTATGTGAAGCCAAGCTATCTGCAAGAAGCCCCCGCAAAGTCCCACTGTTGAAAAAAAAGACGTGCTGAAGAGGATACAATTTGCCAAAGAGCACATTGACTGGCCTAAAGAGAAATGGCGCAACATTTAGTTGACTGATGAAAGTAAGATTGTTCTTTTTGGGTCTAGTGGCCGGAGACAGTTTGTCAGACGACCCCCAAACACTGAATTCAAGCCACAGTACACTGTGAAGACAGTGAAGCATGGTTGCGCAAGCATCATGATATGGGGATGTTTCTCATACTACGGTGTTGGGCCTATTATCGCATACCAGGGATCATGGATCAGTTTGAATACATCAGAATACTTGAAGAGGTCATGCTGCCTTATGCTGAAGAGGAAATGCCCTTGAAATGGGTGTTCCAACAAGACAACGACCCCAAACACACCAGTAAACGTGCAACATCTTGGTTCCAGACCAACAAGATTGACGTTATGGAGTGGCCAGCCCAATCCCTGGATCTTAATCCAATAGAAAACTTGTGGGGTGACATCAAAAATGCAGTTTCTGAGGCAAAACCAAGAAATAGAGAAGAACTGTGGAATGTAGTCCAATCATCCTGGGCTGGAATACCTGTTCACAGGTGCCAGAAGTTGGTTGACTCCATGCAACACAGATGTACAGCAGTTCTCAGAAACAGTGCTTATACAACTAAATATTAATTAAGTGATTCAAAGGAAAGCAAAACCTTCAAACATTTTTCAGTTTATATAGTAAATGTTTGAGTTTGAGTTTGTAAAGAAGAATACAAACACTGCTATTTTTTTGAACAGTCTAATATTCACTTTTCTTCAATTTTTTTAGAGGAACACAAATGTGATATATTTTTCTTCATGATTTGATTTGGAATAGAATGTGTAGTGTTCCCAATATACACATATTATATGATTTATATGTCCTCTGTAATGTATATATACATTGTATATGCTGGCTCCTGTTCTATACAAACTCACCGCTGTCCCTGTGTCCTCTCCTCTGTGGGGACAACCAATGAAGGCAGTGGCCATGGGAAGCCAGGTTATGCCCCGACTGCCCCTCCCATCAATTGGTGGACCTATTTTCCAATCACTTACTCTTATTGGCTGATGCTGTTGCTGCTCAGTCCTGTGACTGCTTTGATTGGTCAGGAGAGATGGGGCAGAGCTGTGTCTGCAGCACTGCCCAGAGGTGGTATTGTGACCCAGAGAAGCTTTAGGCACTATGTATTGATGATATGATACTTAGCGGCATCAGCAGCTGGCAGTCATAAAATAAACTTATATATAAAATCTATATATAAAATCGAGCGCAGTGTAAGATACGGTAGCTGCTTGCACAAAAAGGATCGGGAACCTCCAAAGTAATTGATAAAGAATGAGAGCCCATAGGTGCAGCTGAAGATGCTAGGATTTGTCCCAGACACCTCCATGTGTGCAGTGTGGCTCAGTACACAGTGGGCCCAACTTTCCTCGGGGCCTGCGTGCCCAGAACACCCTGCACACATGAATGATACACAACTGCATTTGATTACTAGTACAGAAAGTCCCCTACTTATGAACAAAGTCATTCCAGGAGCTCATTCCTAAATCCAACTTGTTTGTAAGTACAACAAACTTCAGAGCTTGTAGACAATGGCTGTGACAGCTGATCAGTGTGTTCTAGTGGGGGAGGGGCTGTCAGAACCCAAAGGCACAGAGGGAGAGATTGCCGGACCAACATTGCTTGTGTTATAAGGGTGATCTGTCAGGTTTTTTCATTCAGCCTGCTGGGTTAAAGTAGTATACACCCTCAGCACTTTTGTTCAGCTTATCACATTAAGAACAATAAAATAAGCATTCCCCAGTGAACTATGTGTTAACATTCTTACCCCAGCCTTGCAATTTACACCTTTCTATGCAGCTGACTCCTGCTCCTCAGTGCTATTCCTTTGAACTTCCAGTCTTCATAGGAAAGAGATAACAGTGGACAGTGCAGTCTCCAGTATCTTAGCCTTTAGAAGGCAGGGGGGAGGATCACGTACTCAGTCAGTGATTAAATCACCTGCTAAAAGTGCATGAAGTGTTTGTAAACCTCTGACACAAATAATAAACAAAGAATATCCTTCTATAGTGTGTATTTGCCTTAGTTCAAAGCACTGAGTATATAGTTTCTGCCTGCAGTCTGGTTCCTCTGCTATCTGTATGTAATTTGTGAAAGGCTGTGCTGAAAGGATCAAGGGGATGGGGGAGGGGAGAAGCAGATGATTGAAAGCCTCAGCTGTGGAAGTTTCCTTATGAGATTGTGAAGAGGGGGGGTGTCCATTCCCTCCACTCAGGTCACAGATTAAATTTAGCTCTCATCTCGGAGATAAGCAGTGTGTAATTTCACATCCTCGCCCCCTGCTTCTGTAGGCTCAGAAAAGCTGTGTAAATTCTGGACTTTAAACATATAAAGAACAGATGGCTGCAGATAAACACATACAACTTATGTAGGATGATTTGTTTCATCTCTGTGTATCACCTGAGTTTAATCACTTCACTGGATATATGTAAGGGTTTACAACCATTTTAAAAAGGGTTTACTATCACTTGAAATAACTGATATAACCTTGTAGTACATGGTCATAGCAGCTACTACAAAACTGTGGTTGTACACAGTGCTTCAAAATTAGTACAAATATGTTTTAACATGGGAGAGGTAGTAATAATTTGGATCCCTTTATGCTGATATTGATTCCAATAATACATTTGTTGCAAACAAATTAACATGAGTATCAATGACAAGCTTGCACTGCACTTTCTAATTTTACCAAAGTGCATTTATTTAACAAACAGGTTATTGAATAAAAATGAGAGGAATTTATCAAAATAAAATCAAAACTTATCAAAACTGGAGTGGACAGAAATGGGAGCAAGTGTACATGGCAACCACTCAGCTTCTGCCTTTCATTTTCAAACCCTAACCAAACAAGCAGAAGATAGAAGGTGATTGATTGCCCTGCAGAGCTGCTCCAGATATTGTATGTTCCAGTTTTGATAAATTCCTTCCAATATATTTAAAAAAACAACAATTCTCACAATGTCTGATCATAGATATATATTAGTTAAACCAGTTGCCCGCTGCCCTATAGCAGAAATACTGCGCGAAGGGCTGTGCAAACTCACATGATATGCATTTCCGGGTAGGGGGAGCACGCACCGCCCTATCCACTCTGCCATTGGCAGCTATGGATGTCAATCACTGGGTCCTGGCCAGCAACACTGACAGGGGAGAGACCTGTGTGTAAACAACACAGGTCTCTTTCCTTCCAGCAGTAACATACTGCTGTGTATTTCTCTGCACAGCAGAGAAATACACAGCAGCATGTTTCCCTAGTAAAACACAGCACAGCACATGTTGTAAAAAAAGCACACAGTTAACCCTTTGATCACCCCAGATATTAACCCCTTCCTGCCCAGTGTCATTAGTACAGTGTCAGTGCTTTTTATTAGCACTGATCACTGTATTAGTGTCATTGGGATGTCAGTGGCAGTTAGTCAGTGCCCCCCCCCCCCAGTGTCAGAATCCCCGCCGCAGTCCTGCTATAAGTTGAGGATCACCGCCATTACTAATAAAAGATAAAAAGAAATTCTGGTATATATAGCAAAGACATGTAGTAGAATACATTGGACTAAATTTACGACAAAATTTGATTTTAAAATTTTTTTTTACTGGACATGTTTTAAAGCAAAAAGTTAAAAAAAAAAATGTTTGTTTTTAGTCAAAATTGTCAGTCTTGTTTTGTTTATAGTGCAAAAAATAAAAAAAAACACACAGGTAATCAAATACCACTGAAATAAATCTCTATTTGTGGGAAAAAAACATAAATTTCATTTGGGTGCAGCATTGCATGACTGTGCAATTGTCAGTTAATGTTACGTAGCGCCGTATCGCAAAAAATGGCCTGGCCAGGAAGGGGGTAAATCCTCTGGAGAGAAAGTGGTTAATTGTCTTTCATCATGTAGGAAACAGTTCCATGTTTCAGGTGTACTTTCTCCTGAGCTCTCAGTAAAGTGATAGCTGCCACCTAGTGGACAATCTATATAACTGCAGTGAGAACATAGCAGGTTCTTCTGAAATTGTGACTGCTGTAAAGCCATACCTAATTTGCAATTTATACTCATGGGAAATTTTATTGCATCAGCTGACTGATTTCAAAGGAATAATCCAAATGTTTATCAACTTTTTCTCTCTGCCTCTTCACATAGATAAGCTAATGACCCGTCAAATACTGACCTCCCAAGGAAGAAGGAAAAAAACTGACAGCAGAAATCCAGTGCTTCTTTCTGCAACACCTTGAGTTTATTCATTCATTTATTTTTAGCTAAATTCAAGAGTACTAATTGAGAACCTGGTACTGAATACCTCTGGTCTCTTTCTTGCTATGAGCCCAAGTATTACATTTTATCTGAATTTTGTTCCTAAGATTATTTTGTGTCTGATACATACATTTTTACTAGTAATTGCATTTCCTCTTCACGGTTATTTAGGATAATTTTGTGGAGGTCATATACTGTAGTGAATTAGAGGATCTGGCATTTTTTCATGAACTTTTGCTAGCCAATTCAGGCATATTACCTCTGGATAAAAAAAAAAAAAAAAAAAAAAAAAAAAAAAAAAAATCAGGATTTACAGCTAAAACCACCTTAGATGTTTTTTCTTTTCAATTTGTAAAAAATCAGGTGGGGGTGTTGCTGCTCTAAATAACCACTTGAAAACCAGCATGTTAAACCTCCTTCCTGTAAAAGCTTCTTTTTTAGTTTTCCGCATTGTGATACTTTGACAATTACTCAGTCAAGCAACACTGTACCCTAATGACTTTTACTCCATTTTTTTGAGACAGAGCTTTCTTTTAGTGGTAGTTAATCAACACTGACCTTTTTTTTTTAAATATAATACTATATAAAAGGAAAAAAAAAAACATTTTAAACAAACCTGTTTTCCTTAGTTTTTGCTTTGAGACTTTGCAGATACAGTAAATCACCTTTCTTCATAAATGTAAGCAAAAATTTATTTTGTTACATTTCTTTGGTAACAAATAAGTGTATATTATTTAGTCTAAGTAGTTTATAGAGTCTAAAAACTATAACATGTATTTATTTGAAATTTATCATCCCTCATATATTGACTGCCTATCTCATTTCTATCTCAGGCCCTAAAATGTTGGAACTGTGCTGTATAACACCCACAAAATGACCCACTTTAGGAAAATAAACACTCCAAGATGTTTAGTACAAAAATGGTTTGTTTTTTTTTTAAAGTTGTCATATTTTACCACTTTTTTGGAAAAAATTTAATAAAGTAAATAAAATTTGGTTTTATTTCAAAAGTTGACATTTTAACAAGTTATTTCTTATACACAGCACAGGCATACAATTACATCTCAAAACACATTCTTCTACTTGTCCTGAGTATGGGGATACCACATGTGTGATAATTTTAAAGAGTCCAAAAATCCAAGGAGCACCTTCAGGCTTTAAAGGAGCATACATTTTGCATTTGATTTCCTGACTATGTATTATATTTCTCGAGGCCTTGATGTGTCAGGACAGGAGAAACACTCGAAAAAGGAGAAAGTCAGTCATTCAGAAGAAAACATGTCAAGAAATGATGTCAGCTGGAATTGGAAGTGCCTGTGATGCCATCTTGGTTACCAGAATGATATACAGCCTGCAAATGTGAGCATTTTTAATGTAATAAATGTGATTTTAGTGAGATGTTCTGCTCTATTAGTCTCCTTTCTCATTCTGTGTCCTGCCTGGAATTTACTTATGTCAATTTAAGGATTTGTATGTCGGTGGAGCAAATGGATGCGGAGTGGCTTGGTGTCAGAGAAATCACCCATTCTTGTGTAATAGGGGTTGTTGGGGGTAAGATGTTTTGGTATATGGTGGATTGAGCACTGTGAAGGATCATATGTTTGGCACCTTTATGATCACAAGGAAGTGTGAGTAAATATTTGTATAACAGTGGAGTTTTGAATATACTGCACTACTGGATGTTCCTTTTTACATGTGACACTGAGTGAGAAGAGGATTTGAAAATGAGGGGTGGTCCACAGGAGCAAGAGGAGATTTGGATTAATTGGCATGATGATCTGACCATCTCCTGCTGATAAGGCTCTATCATATCCAGGGGCAGACTGACAACTCATGGGGCCCCCGGGCAATAGGAGATCATGGGGCCCCTGTGTCCTTGCCCAAACTCAAAAAAGCCTATGAAAAAGGTACCAGGGGCATCTCATGGGGCCCCCTACTGACCCCAGGCCCTCGGGCAGTGCCTGAGTTTACAAATGGTCAGTCTGCCCCTGATCATATTTGAGGGCTGTCCAGACCCCATGCCAAGCCTACTTCTTGGGGATTGGTCAAGATCCATCAGACATGCAGCTCAGCCCCTCTTTACCCCACCCACTGCTTTCTAGAAGCTTCTAGAGCAGGGGGAAGTATCAGGGAACTGACGTGCAAAGCCTTCGGTCCTGACCTAGAGTAACCTGGCTGACTCATCCCTGGCTGACTCATGCTTTTAAGCCTCTGCCTAAAAAGCCTAGCTAGCTCCCCCTGGCTAACTAAAAGGGCACTACATTATATTTTAAATAAATTAAAAGTCATATTTCATTCAACAGTCAGTACATTTCCATACTGCTTCTACCCATATATCATATCATTTAAAGTTTACACATATGGACCTTATTTGATACAAATTTTTCACTGGTTGAAAAAAATTAAGATATTAGGTAGTTGGCATATTAGGGTATAAGGGTAGTTGGCACATTATAGCTGTTGTATGTAATGTGTATAGAATACAATCTATGGTTTTTAATAAGAAGTACTGTATGTTTGAAAATTCTTTGATCAATTCAAGTGTGGATATACTGTATGCATGCACCTGTACAAGTCTGTTCATTTTTGGCTTCTCTAGCCACATCCCGACCGCTCTATAGCAGATAAACTGCTACAGGGCGGCAGAGGTGCACAAAATCACGTATATATGCATGTGATTTTGTATTTTCGGATAGGGGGCGCGCACGGGCCACTCGCCCATTCCCTATCCACGCCGCCATTCACGGCCGTGGCTGTCAATCACCGGGTCCCGACCGGTGATTACCCCTTGGCACCCGGTGATTACCGAGCATCTCTGACGGGGAGGAATACTGCTTTGTTTACTAACAGTCCTCTTCCCTGTCGGCTCTGGCACACTGCTCTGGATGGCTGTGCACAGCACAGCCATCCAGAGAAGTGTGCTTACAGTGAGGCACCAACACACCCCCCTCAATAAAACACTCCCAGCACACAGTTAACCCTTTGATCGCCCCTCATGTTAACCCCTTCCTGCCCAGTACCATTAGTACAGTGTCAGTGCTTTTTGTTTAGCACTGATCACTGTATTGGTATCTCTGGGGATGTCAGTGACACCAAGTCAGTTCCCCCCAGTGTCAGAATGCCCGCCGCAGTCTCACTATATGTTGCTGATAGCCGCCATTACAAGTAAAATAAATATAAAATTCCAGTATCTATACCGCCATAAATGCTATAACTTTCACATATACCAATTAATTTACATGTATTGAGATTTTTTTCAGCAGAGACATGCAGCAGAATATAAATTTCCACCAAAATGTGATGAAATTTGTTTTTTTACATTTTTTACTGGACATGTTTAATAGCAAAAAGTCAAAAATATTGTTTTTTTTCTTAAAATTGTTGGTCTTTTTTTTATAGCGCAAAAAATAAAAATTGCACAGGCAATCAAATACCACCAAAAGAAAGCTCAATTCATGGGGAAAAAAAAGGACGTAGATTTCATTTGGGTGCAGCGCTGTATGACCGGGCAATTGTCAGTTAAAATAACGCAGCACCATAACGCAAAAAATGGCCTGGTCAGGAAGGGGGGTAAATCCTAAGGAGGGCAAGTGGCTAGAGATCAAGCCCTCCTTTTTTTATTTGCTGAGAGTTGTAAGGGAGAGGAATCATTCAGGATATACAGTAGATGTCTAGATAGCCTGTCACCTGGATGCCCTTACTTCTGAGAAGGACAAACAATGCCTCCAAACTCTTTGTGAACACCCTGGGGCAGAAGACATGTCAAAAGGAAGTATTATGGATATGAGAAAATAGAAAAAAACACTTGTGCTTAATGGTAGTCCTAGTATAGAAACAGACATATACATATACATATACAAATAAATTAAAATATATAAAAATAAGACTCATGTATTAACACTGAGCAGCTGCCACTGAAATGTGTAATCTCCACACTTATATATTCATGAATTAAAAAATAAAAGTAAAAGCGCTTAAATCAATCCCACTATCCCTTAATCAACAATCAATATAAATCCCTAGTATCAGTGACAGATCTGTGCAAAACAAATATTATGCCAAAAATACGCAAAAAAATAGGTGTCACCAATAAATGATATACTTCACATACATAGAAATTCATTATCCCAAAAAAATGTGTATTCTCAATAAACAATATGTGTAATTGTCCAAATCACCATACACCATCCAATCTTCATGTGATAAACAACATCCAATTTCTTCTGTGTGTCACCAGAGAATCACACTTTTCATCAATGGGAAAAACTCCATTGTAACACCACCAAAACATCCCCTCTGGATGTGTTTCTCCTCCTGATAAGATGAACCCTGCAAGCAAATGGAGGCCAAACGCTTGTTACAAATGTATCAGAGCTTGTATCCAAAGAACTTTCTTAGTGGTCACCAGTTTCCCCAGTATAGTTATCATGTAAGGCATGAAGTGAAAAACACAGTGCAGACTGCAAACCACTATTGTTATTTAAAAATATCTACATATACACTCACATAGTGAAGACATCAAAAGTGTTTGTCTTAGCCATCCTATGACTTAGCCTTGGAGAAGGCAGTGACATCATCACAAGGTGGAGCTAGGACAGGGATGGCAGGGTCTACCAAAGAGTAGCCCACTGTTTTGCAAACTCTTTTTCCACTGGATAGAATTCAGCAAAACATTTTGGAGATGTAAAAATCCTTCCAGGATGACCAAATCATCAGACTGTTCCCAAACATATAATGTTTTAGAAGCTTTTTTTGGTCTTTTAGTACCCAATGGGGTTTCATGATATAGAAGAAAGTCAACTTGCACTATGCCAAGGCTTTTGTGAAGAGTGGCAATGACATTTTCAAAATTTGAAGCTTCCTCTTCAATATAGTGGAAATGTGGGGGACAGACATTTTCTGCAGCTTCCCTCAACACTGCCTCATTGTCCTCTTCATTTCCTTCAGATTCAACATCCTCTAGGACTGGTATGTCAGGGTCCAAATCCGGATGAGATATGGGAGTAGGAGAAGGGCAGGGCGCTTTGAGCTCTGGACACAGAGAACTCTATTAAGGCCATAATCTATGCAAGGAATTATGATACAGATGCTGAAAATTTTTCATTTGTCAAATAGGCCACTTGTTGCGTGCCTGAATAGAATCATGGCTTTGAATGTGAGTGTTCTGTGGGCCTTTGGCAAAATGAATGTTTGCTTATTGTTTAGACTCCCATTCACTTGTTCTTTGCCATTACTAGAAATGAGAGCATCACTCCATGGAGTACTCAAAGAGTAGAGACCATATAAAGCAGGTATCACTAAATAAATGCCTGAGTGTCCTCTACAGGTCGCCGGCTCGCCTGCTGCCACTGTTGCTATTATCCTCAAGGAAAAGCACAAGATGGAAGGTGCGACATGTCTGCATAGAGGGTGGAACTTTTCAGGTTAAGAAGCTGGTGATTGGTTATTAGGCTTCAAGATGGTCAAAGTAATCATTTACCCCACCTTTAACATGAAAACTCGCCCTCTATGCAGACCTGCCACACCTCCCTTCTTGTGTGAGGAAGGTAGGAAAATGGGGAGAGCTGTGATATGATGAAAGAGACTAATATGGAGGGAAGACTTTGATGTAGAAAAGGAAGGGGAGACTGTAATGTAATGGGGGGATCTGTGATCTAAAGAGGGGTCTGTAGTGTAAAGGGGACACTGTGAAGTAAGGGGAGTGGTAATATCAAAGGAAGCCTGTGATGTAAAGAAGTGAGAGGGACTTTAATGTAAAGGGGACTATGTTGTAAGGATGGGGGGTTTGTGATGAGAGGGTCTTTGGCTGGGCAATCTGAGACGGGTGATAAGAGGTCTGGGATGGAGATCTTGGACGTGACGTGGCAGTCTGTGACGGGAGAGCCCTGTGACGAGGCAGTCTGTGACAGGGAGTCTGATGGGGTCTAGGTTGGGGGGTCTGTGACGGGACGATCTATGGTGAGGGGGTCTGTGATGGGGGGTCTGTTACAGGGGGTCCATGATGGGGGGGGTCTATGATGTAGCAATCTGTGATGTAAAGGCAGACTGTGATGTAAAAGAGGGGATATGATGTGAAGGGGGGGTCTAGATAGGATGTAAAGAGGAGCCTGTGATGTGAAGGGGGGACTGTGATGTGAAGAGGGGACTGAGAACACTGATGTAAGCGTTCAGTCACACTTTTGCAGAGATCTATGTTTTTTATACACTAGAAAAATACAAGGCTGGGTGCTGAGCAGTGCCGAAAGAAATGCATGCCGTGTGCATTTTTCTGCAATGGACTGGAGCTCATCTGAAGGCCACATGTACAGTCTGTTTCTATGCACAGCAACTGAGCTGTGATGTATAAAAATGGTTGGAATGCAATTTTGACATTTCAATAAAGGTTAAGGAAAGAAAAGACACAGTGTGACACAATTAAATGTGCACCAACACACCCAGTTCCTGCGCCTTACACTACCAGGTGCTTACACAGTAGAACCCTGCATTAGATCATAAGGGCCAGGATGGGGGGGGGGGAATGTGATGTGTAGAGAAGGCTGTGATGTGGAGAACCTGAATTGAGGCAGAAAAATTAAACTTGGACCTTCAATGGAAGAAAAGTTTACTAACCGGACCTTTTATGAATTTTAATTTAGTACCCCTGTTTATAAAGGCTCTAGGCAGAATTGGCATTATTATGTGCAGCTAGGGGTGTAACCTAGTCATCAACATGTACAAAAAGTAGCAACCACCCCATCCTATAACTAGCCTTTGCAATAAGGTGCATGGAAAGGCAACGCACATCACAAACAAACAAAGATTTCCCAGCACACTTACCAGCTAGCCTGCAAAAAAAAACCAAATAGTCCCTGTCTAACAATTCACATTAAAAACCAGAGGGTTTTGTTTGCACACATTTAACAATATGTGTGTAAGCTACAGTGCCTTGACCAAGGCTCCTCTGTGTACTGTGGTCCTAACTCTATAATTTGTAGGGTCTTCAAGTTGCAGGCTAGCTGGTAGAGATGAGCGAATTATTCAAAAGTTCGATTCGGCTGATTCGCCGAATTCGCGGAATAAATTCGATTCGAGGCGAATATATTCGCTGCGAATTTTAACTTATAAAAAGGGTGTTTCTAGGCTTCAGAGAGCCTTTATATTAGTGCAAACACTGTACCTTTAATTTAAATGCCCTTGGAGTCTGCTGGGGAAGAGAAATAATACTGTCAGTCAGTATGACATGCAGATGAGTGCCGTCGATCTTAGAATCACCGCACACTTCACTCATTTGGGCAGTCACGGGGCCAAAGCCAGAGTGTGGAGCCACAGTGTGGTGGTGGAGGCAGCAGCAATGGGAGGCCATACAGCACCCTATGACAAAAATGGAAACCCACCAGCAGTGTGAGGAGACCTGAAAGTGGCACATGGCAGAGTGTGGCGATGGAGACAGCAGCAATGGGAGGCCGTACAGGGACCCATGACACACTCTGGACCTGGCAGCAGCATGAGGAGGTGGTACAGGGGCCCATGACAGATTACGGGCCTTGCAGCAGCATGAGGAGTCGGTACGGGGGCCCATGGCAGATTACGGGCCTGGCATGAGGAGGGCGTACAGGGGCCCATGGCAGGTGGCGGAGCGTAAGCAGCTAAAATTGGGCCATACAGAGGCCTTGCAAAAATTGAAGTGGCATACCAGCAGGCCTAGCGTGGTAAGCATGTCCCCCCAGCAGCTGCTAAAGAGTCCAATGGCAGAGTGGCGGAGCAGAAGCAGCTTCAATTGAGGCCATACACAGGCCTAGGTTAAAAAGCGGAAGCCGTCCACCCGTGAGCAGATGACAGAGACACATGGACGCAGGGTGGCGGTGGATGCAGCATATTCGGAAGCCAAACACAGGCCTCGGTTGTATAAAAAGCGGAAGCCGTCAGCAGCGTGAGCAGACGACAGAGGCACATGGCAGAGGTGGCGGTGGAGGCAGCAGCAATGGAAGGGCCATACAGCACCAGCTATCACAAAATGGAACCACCAACAGTGTAAAGGTTTATAGACCTGAAAGTGGCACATGCGCAGGGTGGCGGTGGAGGCAGCAGTATTCGGAAGCCAAACACAGCCTCGTTAAAAAGCGGAAGCCGTGCGCAGCAGCGTGAGCAGATGACAGAGAC